AATATACCTGTAATTGAAACTATTGATCTGGTTAAATGTAGACTGTTACAAAATGGATTAGATAATGAATATGTCAATCAGATTGTAAAAATGCTCACAACTGTATTGAAACAAAACTATTTTAGATTTAACAACAAGTTTTATGAACAGACAGATGGTTTGGCTATGGGAAGCCCACTTTCAGCAATTTTATCAGAAGTGTTTTTGCAACATCACGAAAAAGAAATACTAGAAAACCTAAAACGCAGTCGTACAGCTCTATGTTAGATATGTAGACGACATTCTTGTTATTTTCAGGCAAACCCAGGAGAATGAACATGAAAAAATGATGGAAATATTCAACACCCAACATCCCAACCTCACTTTCACCTACGAATTTGAAGAAAACGACAAGATCAATTTTCTGGACCTAACACTAGGGAGAAAAGACGTCAAGATAGACTTTGAAATCTACAGGAAACCAACGCAGACAGACACAACGATTAACAGCAACTCTATTCATCCAATAATCCACAAGACTGCAGCCTTCAGATCCATGTTGTACCGAGCATACAAGATCCCACTCAGCGAGACCAATAGAAAAAAGGAATTGAATACCATAAAGAGGGTAGCACAAGCTAATGGATATAAACTTCAAACAATAGAAGATATCGCAAGAAAGACGAGACGGAAAATAGATAACCAGAAAAACGTCAAAATAGGACAACGTTGGAAGAAATCAAAGAAGAAAACACCAGATATGCTACATTTAGCTACACAGGAACTAGGAAACAAAGGATCGCTAACTAATTCAAGAAATATGGAGTATCAATAGCCTTCAGGACCCAGAACACTTTGAGTGATATACTGCATCCACATATAGAAGATTATAACAAATTTGACTCTTCAGGCATCTACAAAATAAATTGTAACGATTGTGATCATGTTTATATTGGACAAACTGTAAACTTTATTAAACGATTCAAAAACCACACATCTGCATGGAGAAACAACAAACCGGAAAGATCAAATGTCGCACAGCACTTGTTACAAAATGGCCACTCATTAGGAAAAATTGAAGACAATGTATGTATTTTAAAGAATTGTAAGAAGGGAAATGTGATGGATGCTTGGGAAGAATTGTATATTTATAAGGAAAAATGTAAAAATAGAAATAAGCTCATCAATGAACAAGTAAATTTTGACTCCAGTTGTACTTATAGAAACTTACTGGCCGGTACTTCCGGTAACCAATAGTATATAAGGGAACGCCATCTTGATTCTTGCCATTCGCCTATTGGGTCTGATGATGATTGGAGTGTCCAATCGAAATCGATCACCACTTACCAACTTTTACATGTATTTACCGTCTTGTAAGTCAACAGTATAAGTGTAAATATATTATTGCAAGTGTTATTAGACGTAATATATTTCTGTATTTTTCACCTTTTTTAAATCCAACTGAAATTCATGTTTGCTTAAATACTATGCAAAGAGTTGTCTAAATTACATGAAAACTTATGTCCAACAAAAACAATGTTAGAAAGTCATAACAAGCTCTAACAAAACATTGCTCTACACAAAAGGAATATGTGACAAAAGCTGTTCAAGTTGCAATTAAACAAGCGTAACGTGCAGTTCATTTGAGCTTACTCAATGTAACAACAACGTGCACGATCCTACGTATTGTTCCATGATAGTTTAATTGAACTTACTCGTTTTAGCATAATTGTTTCGTTGATCTAACTCATTATAACATGACTATATTTGGGCTCACTCATTGAAGCAATATAATATACTTGAGCTCATTTATTGTAGCATGATTGTTAACTTGAACTCACTCATTCTTGCATAACTGTTTCGTTGGCCTAACTCATTATAATATGAATGCATTTTGGAATGTAATTTTATATTATTTTATATTATATTATTTTATATTATATAATTTATATTATACATGAACTTTCTCATTTTGGAATGATTTTTTCATTGAGCTAACTCACTCTAACATGAATGGCTCGCTCATTGTAGCAGATAGTATACTTGAGCTCACTGATTGTATCTCAGTCGTTTAATTTAACTCACTCATTATAAATTCATTGTATCGTCGACCTAACTCATTATAACATGAATGTACGCCTATAGTTGGGATCACTCATTGTAGCAAGATAGTATACTTGAGTTTAATGATTGTAAACTTGAATTCACTCATTCCAGCATCATTGTTTTGTTGAACTAACTCCTTATAACAAGAATGCATAGTTGGGCTAACTTATTGTACCCTCATAATGTAGTTGAGCTTACTCATGCGCTGTTATATGAACCTATTAGTAGGAGTCGCTATAATTAAATTCCATGGATAGGCTTACTCACTACTGTTGTATGCATCAATAAATGAATAAAATGCATTTTATACATCAAATGTTCAAAAGGGTTAACTACTAATGGCCTAATCTATAATACTAGATATTGTCTGATGAAAACTTGGGCTAGATGTAACATTATCTGATTTATTGCAGCCTGAACTAGTTGTAACTACTATACGTTGTATCACTAAAGGATTGAAACCCAGTATATGAATATGGTCGATAGTGCGTAACAGTGTTCTGTAAAATCAGTTGGTATGCACTGCTTTAAATAGTAACTGTTGTTCTCGATTCAATTATTGAAGAATGCAACTCGAGCTATTTTAATGAGTCCCTGTTGACAATCGCTTTTATTTTCTGTTATTTTAATTGTTTTAAGTAGTGTGAATGTTTGTTGATAAAAAAAATATCGCTTCAACGAAACAGCAATAATTTTTAATGAATACAATAGCCCTAGTGGGAATAATATTTCTCGATAAATAGTTCAGTATCTCTCAAATAATATGTAATCCATCCCAAATCGCGCTTTGTCTGGTTGTGCTTCACACGGGTATCATTCATGTTATGGAAACCTAAAATCTGGTTTAGGATTATTTCTGATTATGCAATCAAATTAAACTGTAATACAAAATAGATTTTGAACATATCTTATTGGTGTGCTACTCAATAAACATATAATGTTTATCATGTTTTTTTCTTTTTCTATAAAACAACTTCCACATTGTGTAACCTCAAACATACGTTAGTTATTACGGTTAACATGAATGGTGAAGATAGATTATTTGAGGGGGATGCGGCCCTTACCTTACAAAGTTTGCCCCAAACTGTTCACCCCTCAGTCATCTATAGAGCCGCAAACTCTCCACAACCTCTTGGCTACTTAATGAAGTCTATATCTCTACCTAGTCAATACCTTACCTTCCTCCAAAACGTTCATCTAGCTATAAATAAAATAGCTCGGAAGAAAGTATAATTTATATTTACTATTTCGAAAACCACAAAACAGTTCGTAGATATTAAATCTGTCTAGAGTAGAGTTCTAAAGTAAAATTCATATAGAATTAATTGGTTGTAAAGATATAAGTATATCCCTACAAAATTCATTTTCACTTAGCTACAGATAAAATAAATAAACTAAAATATGTTTTAATTGTTCGACGTATTTAATGTTTCCAAATAAATACATGCCACTGTGCAGGTCTACCATCTTTTTAGAGTGAAGATAAAATGTAATAAACAATTTGACTTATTTTTGAAAGTATTAAAATTAATCCAATTTATTTTTGCGAGTAAAGAAAAAATGCAATAAAGGATCGTATTTGCGATTGAGTTGTTTGCATTTAATTACGTAACATGCAGGTTATTAATAAATAAAAGTAATTAGCTACTCTAAGAAGATTTTTCAAGAAATATTTTATGTATCCTTTTCGTACATATATTAGACACTAGAATATTTATTTGTCAAAAAATATATACACAGTTTCGTATACATAAAAAAATTAATATGGTTATTTAGTTTAGTTTTGTATTGTAATCTTTAAAATAAATAGTCAACACCATACTAAATATTTACTGTCTCTACTGTGATTTACTTAAATTAAATATAGCCTTCTGCCAAAATAGGCAATGACATATTTTTTTCGTTAAATTAACAAATTTATAAAGACACTTTTATGGTTTGATTATTTTTTTATTTGACGGAAAATCTCATCTCATCTTACTTTGGAAGAGTAACGCCATTTATGTCATTGTCATGATCTGTTATATTTTATTACTAAACAAGATAATACAATTTCTTAAACGTTTAAAAATTTATATTTAGACACAAAACGCGTTTCTAAAGAATGCACTCCTCAACTTTGAATCGTTTATATTAATTAAATTTTGTGAGCTTGGCACTATTCTTAGCCCAAATAACATTTTTGAGCACAAGAATGAAATCAAGTGTTAAGTGATTGACTTACAATAATTTGAGTTCATATTTAAAAAATATATATACGAAAAAAACAATAAACGAAAGTTTTTAAGGCCTACTTGCAAACTTCTATATCGCCGATCATCCCTCTTTTTCAAATGTAGATTTGTAAAACTATTATAATAAATAATTATAACCTATATAGTTGATAAAATCTTAAAAATATGAGTGGAAATTTCATCATCGGACTGCTTGCTTAGTAAACAGAAATACAAAATGTGATCTTGCAATAGAAAATTCTTGTTTGTTTAGAAAAATTATAATACATTACCGGAGTTTGTAAAGTTGTATAAAAACAAAGTTAGTTAATTCCATCAGTCTCAATCTATTCAATCATTATTAAATGTAAATGTATATCAAGAAATATTAAGGTTCGATTCCTTAAATTTGCATTAAGTTTTATCTATCTACACACATGTATGTTATTGTGATTAAACTAATGTAGGCTACAGTGGAAAAAATATTTAAAATATTGATTACCATTCACTTTAATGCGATTGAACTAACATTTTTATTCTATAAAAAAATAATATTATATTTTCTACATGCTGTTAATCATATTTTTACAGTTTACAATAACAAAAGACAGTACTATATTGGATCGAAATTTGTAGTGGATCGATTAGCTGAATAAATTTCAATTAATATTTTTGTGATACAAATATCGCTCGTAAAATTACCTGGGAGAGAAAATCCAAACCGCGCTACCCCGGACACCCCGGCACTAACTGAGCTTTGGACGATTCAACTGATAACAACCGAATACTCGATGAATGTATCGAATACTCACGGAGTACACCATACAGTAGTATCGATAACAGATCCATTTTGGTAATGCATTGCGACTTTTTGACCTATTTCTCCAGGGAATTTAAGCTATCAAACTTCATGAAGGAAATTTATTTTTGGTATGAGACCGACGAATCCAAATAAATACCTTTTTATCTAGTTTCCCTATTGGGAAAAGTGATAACAGTATGTCGAACAGAAAGCCATATACTTGGGACCGATTTACTTTTTAATTTTTATATCACTTTATGTTTTGATGACACTTGGCATTAATATGCAGAGCTGGATAAACTTGAATAATTCAATTTCAATTCAAAATATCTTTATTCATTCCACAATACAACAAAATAACAATTGACAAATACTTATCACATACATTACATAGAATACAAGACATAGTTATAACCAATACAAATTGAGAATGAATAGTTAGGTTCCTCATTTTCTCGTGTTGAGGAACCATTACAATCTAAAAGACGTACTGGAGAACAAAAACAAAAAATACATTATGCAATATATAAAAATAAAACATAAATAATGGTAAATTTGTACCAAAACAATTTAAAACTATGAAATAAACGTTTTTCCACAGATTCAAATAAAACATTAAAGAGATAGATAATAACAATAAAATACAGTACAGAAAAAATCCAAACATGTGTACTTCCATTTACAATAACTAGGACTATAATGTTTCAACTCCAGGAAAAGTTAAAAACCACTTCTTTAACCTATTTAAAAATATTTTTAGAGCTAGCACTCAAACAAATATCCTTTGGAAGAAGGTTGAGTAACTTTGGAGCCAGAAAACTAAAAAGCGTCTAAAAAACTCATTATAAGGGTGTGGAGTAACAACAAAATTTCTAGATCTTAGTCTATCAGAATAAACCTATTGATTTCCTAAAACGTGGTCAGATCTAATAACAAATGTTCTTAGTTCTCTGAAAACAAATAGGTGTCTTAGTGGAAAGATTTTGAGAGAGATTTAAATAAGGGAAATCAATGTTCTAGCCTGTCTACGCCCATAATCAACCTTACGATATTTTTTTGCGCTAAAATCAAAGGAATAATACTGGAATGGTAAATACCTCCCCAAACATGATATGCCATATTGCAGTTCGCAATAAATTCGATAAATTAGTTCGATAAATTCACGAATAAGCATGATCGGGTGGAACCCTCTGTTATAGGGTTTTATTTTCCCCTATATTTTCCCTTAAAACGTATAATGCCTAATTTTTACCACAACCTAAACAGAGCTAAAAAACCAAAAAAATATATATTGACGCATTGTTGTGTATGGTTAAAGGTCCGAGAAAAATCGAAAACAGTCAATTTAAAATTACAATTTATTCTAATGGAGGCAGGCAAATAAAACTGTTTCCTCCTCGTTTATAAATATTTTGATAAAATTTAGCAAATTTATTAACCTGTACAAATAAACAACTTAAAACGTTTTTCTATTCTCGTAGCAGCCAACCTAAATACCAACTCGATAAATAATATTGTTATTTAAATAGGGAATAAGTGTGGCTTGTATATTTTGTTGTATTTTTGTGAAAATCTTACAGGAGAAATTGACATTTGCTTAGTCTGCAGGTTTACTGCTACGAAGGTATTTTATTTTAACCATTTTTACTCAACTGAATGTATTTTCTGTTTTCACTTTTTTACTCACCTTAACTCTCTATTTAATTTTCTAGTATGGATTTTTAATGTTATTTAGAATTGGTTACAATCAGTTTGTTATGGATAGGCAAAATGAATAAATTACTAATTAATAATATTTATTGGAAAACAACTCTGTTTTAGTAATATTCTGAATAATGTGCAACATTAAAATAATACAATAAATCAACTCAAGCACTGTTTTTGATAGAAAAGTGTGTGTAGTTATGTTGGTAGACGACATGAAGTTATCAAGTCTTGTTAAAAAAGTACTGTGAGATATATTAGGCCTATGAGTTTTGTATAAAATAAAAAAATATTATAAAAAAATGTCGATGATTGTTTAACATGTTTTTCTCTGTTCTAAATTAAATATGATAGGTAACTAAATAAAGTGTTAGCCTAGGAAAAATCAATATTTCTATAGTCAGCTATAAGGTTCACGTCCCATATAATATTATTTCCTCGCCACTCTGATTTTGAAGGGCATTTCTGTTGGTAGACCAACAAATATTAATATTTGTTATTTATCAGAGGTATGCTAAATAATTATTTAAACCTATTAATATATAGATTTAACTATAAAATGATGTATTACGACCATAAATGCTGTACCTGATTAAATATACAGTAGCTAGTTTTCTATATATTATTTCATGTTTAAGATTTAAAACTTTCCTAATGAAAAATCTAAAATAGATTTATACACAAAAATATTTATTCCACAAATAAAAAATAGTTCGTTGTTCATAACAAAATAAACACTGTTTCATATCGAAACTACCAAGCAAATATCGAATGACTACTCGATAGTTGAGGTGTTGAAGGGGAGGACGGGGGAGGTACTTGCGCACTAGCATCTCGACCTTCACCCTCTCTCTCTGTGTGTGTGTGTAGGTGTATGTGTGTGTGATAGATTGTGTAGTGTTATATTATCCTCCTTTGTGAGGGAAGATAGTTTTTAACAACACCTAGCAGAACAAAACAATAATCCTTTTTCCAAGTGGGTACACAACTTTTGTAAAAATCATGGAATGAAAAAAAAAATTGGACCTGGAAACATAGGCTATATTTCATCACGATTGTCCTCAAGCTCTTGTTTAATCGAGGCGGAGAAGATGCTGGATAGAGGAGAGTCAACAAGGCACTTTGGGATCGTGTGATGAACTGTATAATTCTGTTTTACTGAACAATTATTGACGTTAATTAACTCCGAAAACTAAATTTTAAATCGATAACAATACATTTGTGGGGTACCAAATTGGTTTGGTTTCCAACTAGTTTTGCTAATATACCGTATATGAACAGCTATTACCGTTATCAAGGTGTATTAGACATTTCGCTTACACAATTACAAAGTCAGTTGCACACTAAAATTATTAATTTCAATATAGATAATTTCAATTAAGGAGAACTTCTAGTTCAACGAAATTTCCTACGTTGTTGTAATGAATATAAAGTTTAACACGATAATAAACACAAACAAAATTAATTCTATTAAAATTTATCAATCGAGACCATTTTCTTCAAAAAAACAAGTGGAGGATATGAAAAATATAAAAAATGCACAGCTGATGTCTGCGACTACGGCTGAATCTTTTCTTTCAATGGAGTAAAAGAGCTGTTTCATATCCACAACTAATTTAAAACAGCAGTTTCAATGTAGTACAGTAAAAAAAAAAGTGTTTTGATAAATCTAATAGCTGTACAACTTGATTCTACGGTTTTCAGGATTTTCAAAATGTATATATTCTGTAAAGTAGTTTTTTTTTGTTTTAATAGTTACAATATACAAAATATTATTTCTATACATAACCAAACGACTATTTCGGACATTTTCCATCACGATCAGAAGGAGTACTGTTTCTTCCTTTATTAAAATTTTACTTTTTGTAAGAGGAAGATAAGTTTAGATTGAAACTACTTAAATTATTTAGCTTTGTAACTGAATGATAAATTTTTATCTTTTTACAGGTAGGCTACTTTGTAAGGCACGATCAAGCACAGCTGGGTATAATGTGGACCTATCAAACAGTTACTGACTTTTTAAGATTCAACTGGCTATCTGTTGATTTTTCCAGAGTGCATAAGCCTCCCATTCATCCAGCTATATCTTCACAAGTCAAACATTAAAATATAATGACACGTATATATGCACGTTGCTATAAAACCTGGATAATTTTGTTTGTAAAAGCCTTTTCTATTACCAAAATTGAATCTCAAAACTATTCCTCAGTTGCATAGCATTCACATTTATACCCCTTCCTAGTTAGATTCAAAAGTGTGATTTACAATCCTAAAATACTTCATAAATTCTCAAGAGGCTTATTCTTTTTAGTGCAAATTCCATTGTTAAAGTCCTTTAACCAGGCCGCCATATTGATTTTCATTAACAGCAAAGATAAATGGGCATTGTTATCTTTAACAACTCGACACGCAAAGCTTGTAAAGTAAAAATACTTCCACTCCTCATGCTACTACTACATATTTAATCTGTTGCTTACTTTCATTAGTTTCCTATAAATAAGCATATCAATTATTTCATTTGGTGTTACTGTAATTAATGATTTCCAATTAGTATTACTGAATCGTTTGCTCTATAGAACTAAAGTACTACTATCTGAGCGATGGGGTTTGATTATCATTGATGTTATGAATGTTTTAGGTCTTACTTCAAATCGGTTTTAGCGAATTTCCCTATACGGAAATAGGTGGCACGGTAAGACCTAGAGCCGGGACCGATATAATTTAATTTTGATGCAGCGATCACAGAGGCCAAAAACAATACTCTTTCAGATTTGTATAGATGAAAACTTAGTAATCTTTTATCCAATTTTGATTAAATTTGGCTTCAAGATGTAGGTCGGGATAAACTTGAATTAGTTCGTGAATCAGCAAGCTCGGACTGTGGCAACTGGGTTTTATGGGGTAAACATTATAGGTTTCTCTCATTTTTGACTCTTAAAACTTTAAATTTCCCGATTTTATTTATTTAAAAGTTTAAAACATTTTAAAGAGCTTAAAACACAAATTATTTAGTTTATTGAAGGGGTTTTATAGTTATTGTTTAAAGAGAACAATAAATTGTACATTTTGGAATTCCCATTTTATTCTTATGGAGAAAGAGTCAGCTGTAGTATTTTGCTTGTTTATGGGTGTGTTTTGATCAAACTTGGCAAATTTATTTTAAACTAAGCTATTGATATTTTACTAAAGTACACTATTACCCTCTCCATAGCGGCAATAGGTACTCGTTAAATCTAATGTTATTG